TTACCATGATCAGGTAATCGATTACCCCTTTAAAAAATGACCATAAACATGCAAAATAGGCAGGGTAATCGGTTACCCATATATGGTAATCGATTACCACTGAGACAGTGGCAGAAAATCAACTTCCAAAAGCACTTTTCAACAGCAAACAACTTATCTGATTATCCAAATGAATAAGCAATCAATTGTGCACGAAAATCATGTCAAATCACAGCAATCAAACACCAATTGCATCAAACAAATAGCAAGATAAAATATCAAAGCAAAATAAATGGATCAAAATGCAACAAAAGTCCTGGATCTACATTGTAACATGCAAGATTAAGCACTATCAAAGCTAGATCTAGAAATTACTAACCAACAAAGCTGAGAATTGCTTTGGTAAGTGTTGTTAAGCTGAAATTAATAGATCCAAGCAAGAAATCCAAGGATCTATGAAGCTTGAGCAAGAAAACTTGAAGATCCAGGCAAGAGTCCACAAATAAGCAAAAACTCTTCCAAAAGTGATTCCAACACCTTAATTCAAGATCCAAATGAATTGTAGAATCAGAATAGAACCAAGGATGAAGATGCAATGAAGGTTTAGCTCAAAGGTTTACAAATTGCAATGCACAATTTGTGAGGCTTTTTGGTTATGGAGCTTTGGTGGAAGCTTGAAGATGAAGGTTGAGAATGAAAAAAAAAGTGAGAGAGAATTAAGAGCAAATTCTGAAAATGTGAATGAATGAGTGTAAATTCTTGTGAGGTTTGGAGTAGATTTGATTAAATAACCCTTAGGTTAGGAATAAAAACGTGGTTTGGAGTGTGGATTAGTGTTTGGAATGGAAATTAGAAGTAGAATTAGGAATGGAATGTTTGAATTTGGGAGGGAAATGATGAAAATGGATCAATTTTAGATCCTTCCATGTGAGATCAAGGGTTGAAAATGATTGGAAATTCTGCAGTGCTGAAATTTGAATTACTTTTGCAAAATACGCCTAAGGTAATCGATTACCCATATGTGGTAACTGATTACCACATTCAAAAATTGCCAAATTTGGCGTCATGTTGAGGGAAACTTGCCTAATCACCTGTTGCCATCTGTTTTGAACCTTGTTAAGCCCCTGAAACTTGTCCTTTGATATTATGACTGTGAAAATGCCTGAGATAACCTGTGACTTGTCTCCTGTGATGAAAATAACCTGCTGAATAAAATAAAATCGACCACTCGATTACTGGGCAAAATAAATGTCGACGCCTCTGACGCTCGCTGTTTAAACTCTTGCAATAAAAGGAAACCTCGAGTCACAAAAATACCTTGATCCCATGTCTCGAGAGCCAATGCCATAATATGTAAAAAATGTGAAATGAATAAAACACAAACCAGTTACGGTTAAAACGAAAGGGAAAATTTTGGAGTGCTACAGCCTCGACGGGGATAGCCATTTCTTGGCGCCCAACAAAACAATTAAGAAATTTAAATGGTATCACAGGGGGAGAGCTACGTCAGCGTCAACGGTTACTTAGAAAACATGAAAGCACATCAGAGAAAACCGCTATATGAACTTAGGACGTGTTACCATGGGAGTGATTTATCATTCTTAGACATTTATTTTAGAGTAGTATATAAGGATACTTAGGTTCATTTTGTAAGGGTCCGCAATTGTACACATTTCTGTAATACTCAAAGTACTTGCGTTGTGTGAAACGAGTAAGGAAAGATGTACGTATGCGTTCCATCGTTTTATACAATTTCAGCAATTATACTTTAAAAATATTTCTTTTATGCATTAGAGTCCCTTTCGACTTCCTTTACTTTTCATGTCATTTTATATTACATGCACTTTAATCTCAACCTTTTCTTTTCCTTCATTTTTTCCCTTTCAATTTCAAAGTATTTTTCTTTACTTCACTTGCATTTGTTTACAGTTCTTCGTCCTTTGATCGTTTTCTTAGTCACAAGTAATCACAATAAGAATCTTTCCAAAACATCTTCAAGAAGTTTACTTTAACTTCGACCAGGGTTATGATTTTCACGAGTAATACACACACAAACATGCTCGGGAGATTTTCTAGTTTGGTCCCTTAAGTATTAATAGAAACTTGTATTTGTTTAGCAAACTTCACAGTAAACACACCCCACGTCACTTTTTATGACATGCCATTTCTCTGTTTCTTAAATTATCAAAATGACTAAAATAACCCTGAATTTGTCAAGTGAGCCATAAAGAGTTCTTCACGACTAATGTAAGTTGTCAATATCAGAGGTGTACTCTTGTGTATCCTGACATTCTTTTCAACATTGCTTTTCTTTCTCTTTATGTAACATTTTGCATGTGTCACTACTTTATTCAAGGACGTTGTTGACCTATGGCCGATGGACTCTTTGAAATGTCCCGCTCTGAGCCTATAATGAAACGTTCTTATGAATATTTTCTAGTTGGGATGAATTACCTTGATTGTCGCCTCATTGAAATGGGTGATGTATTCCATCAGAGATTCGGAGAGGCCTTGGCAAATATTGAAGAGTCTGGTGGCAACCATCTCTCTGTGTCTACTTTCTGCAAACTGGTGGACTTATTACTTCACTAAGTTCTGATAACTGGTGATGGAGAGTCGAGGCAGGCCCATATACCACCTCAGGGCTAAGTCTATGAAGGTGTCAGAGAGAAGCTTGCATTTTAAAGAGTTAGAAGCTCCAATGATTTCCACACGCGTGTTGATGGAGACAACATGTTCATATGGATAAGTGTATCCATCAAACTTAGCCAACGAAGACGACTTAAAATTTTGATGAACCGATGTCTTTCATATCTCATCTGAGAGAGGTTGAGGGTCTAACATCTCCACTTGATATTAGGGATGGCAAAAAAACCCGGACCCGTCGGGGCACGCCCGGACCCTCCCCGAAATTAGCGGGGAAAACCCGGTTTGAGTGGGTGCGGGTGCGGGAAAAACCCGACTTTTATTACGGGTGCGGGGAGACACTAAGACCCGCACACACCCGCCCCCGCCCCCGAATAATGCATTTTAGTTTAATTCTCTTATTTTACTTATTTTAGTATTCATTTATTAATTATATTTTAATTAAATTATTAATACCTTTACTGCAATTAAAATAATTAAATTAATCAAATTAATATTTATTTACTAATTAAAATTTCAATTAAATAAATAATTAATTTATTAAAATAATTAATTTTTTAATTAAATTATTAATTTTTATTGCAATTAAAAAGAAATTAAATTTTTGTCGGGTGGGGGCGGGGCGGGTGCGGGTGCACCCGTTCTCTACTGGGGGCGGGTCTGGATGGTAAATTTTTACCGCCGATTGGGTTTGGGGGCGAGGACGGGTGCGGGTATAGTAAAACTCGCCCCGACCCGCCCTGTTGCCATCCCTACTTGATATGTAAGGTCAACCTCCTGGTGGCACTGGATACGGAGAACGTTAACCTCTAGAGTATGGTTCTAGTGACGTAGATTGTCTATGGCAACGAGCATCCCTACCATGGCACTTTCCTCGCCTTCAAATTCTTTGCTAATTGAAGTTGTTGTCTTTTTATTCACAATGAGGGACATAGATGTTAAACGTGAGGACAATAATTCGGCTGAATATGTAATTGTAGCCCATGTGAGTTTTATCGGAATCCATGGTGTGCGCCAATTGTATTTGCTAAAAGCATAATATGTGACAATCCCTAGTGATGAAAGGTTGTCAGAGTCTTTAGGGTTTCTTTTAGGATTTAGATGTATCTCATGTAGGTAAATGAGAAGCTTTGTGTATCTAGTATTTATGTGAATATGAGATTGTCGTTGCCAACTATATAAGGTTAAGATATTTATATGATCCTTTTGGACCTAGATCCTAGACGCCTAGGTAACATCAATCATCTCTTAAAAAACGTGGGAGCGAACAATTAATCTATATTATTTGAAATATCATAATTAATTTTCCCTAATTTTTTCCACACCGTTATGTACTAGGGCCACACCAACTCTCACGTTTACTAACTCTCACGTTTACTCACTCGAGCGAGTTATCCTAGAGGTGGGTGGCGTATTTGTGACGAATGAGTGATCGATTTAAACCATGGGCGATTTGGAAGACACTGAGGGCGAAGAGTTTACCTTATTGGCCTACCCACATCACCCCTTATGTCATTTCAAATATACCAATACAATCCTTGTTGAATTTTGTTTTTATTTCAAATCATATTAAATTGTATGTTTTTCTCTCTTTCAAACTTGATGATAAAAGAGGAAGAAATGTGTAATGTTACAATATACATGCAGAGAAATAAATAGACTAAACAATGTGTATTTATCGATTAAAATCATACCCAAACACTGATTGAAACATGCTTGAATATTTGCTAATGTTTAAAGCAAGAGCTTTTATGTTATGAATCTAATCAACAAAGTTTGTTGCACATTAAAGTTAATACAAATTCTTTATTTTTTTAAAACTTGATTTAGATTCTGGGAAGTTTACCAACCTCACTCGATAATTTTATCCTTTAAAATGCCCACAACTTTAGACCTGCAGTGATTTTCTGTCCAAAACTGAATGGAAAAAAACAAACAAACAAACGCTTACCTTGATTTTAGCACAAGGAAACTAAGCTTTCAAACTTAAATAATTTTCCATCAACTGCTAGGGGGTGAATTTAAGAACAACATAAGCACTTGGAAAGTATAAGGAGCATAACTTAAAATAACATGACATCTCGATTATATTAATATTTTATTAGAAGAATTTAGTAAAGTGAGTAATATCAACGGTTGATAAATAAATCAACAGATATTATATACACATGCATATCAAATTATGTACGATTATAATAACTTTTTTTCTTCTCAATTTACTAACTATTTACTTTAAAGAAGCCAAAGGGCATACATTTACATAATCACATGCGCACAGAGAGAAGGAAAGTCCATAGTTTTGAACCTATATGTAAAACATATATTATCACCCAGATGGTATATACAAACAAACGAATCCAATGGCGTAAATATATTCAAACAATACGCCCAGATGATAGCATTGAATCCATGTGACCGTTCAACATAGTTGATCGAGGCAGCTCTTCTAGCTTTTCATTATCCAAAAGGAATATTCGTTTCGCCATCATAACGGTTTCCAAGCGATGCGAAATCACAAGCACCTATGAACATAGGAAGAATGTTTAAAGCTTCATAGTGAAGAAAAGGGTGTACCAATCACACAATAGAGCACACAACTATAAGAGTATTTACTTAATCAAATGGAGTAGGGATCATGTAATTCTCATAACTGATCATGCCAAAGAATAGAAAAGGCTAGTTTCCTTACCGTGCGATTCTCCATTAGTCGCTCCACAGCTTGCCTAACTAATAACTCAGATTTACTATCTAAGGCAGAAGTTGCTTCGTCAAGAATTAAAATATTAGAGTTTTGATAGAAAGCCCTTGCAATAGCCAGCCTGTAATTTTGAGGAAAGAAAACTGATCAAAGAAACAAACTAAGATCATCGATGATTCATAAATATCCGACGCATCAAATTTGCTTTTTACATTAATCATGACTTTCAAATGCTCTTTCTAAACCTAACAAAATTAGCTGTTATTCATGGTTATAGGACAGAATTTTGAAACTGGAAGTTACCTTTGCCTCTGGCCTCCGCTTAAAGTTGAGCCCCTTGGTCCAATATTGGTTTTGTAACCTTCTGGAAGTTTTCTAATAAACTCATCTGCATAAGCAGTTTGAGCTACCCGTTTCACTTTCTCCATGTCAATTTTTGTTGTCAGATCCCTATAACCAATGTTTTCAGCAACTGTACCTGAAAAAAGTGTCTATAACAGTGCATTTATAACATAAGTATTTTTGAGATTGAAGTAAATACCGCTAGTCAAACCACGGGTATATAAACATACATGATCTATAAATTTACAAAGGAACCCAGTTATCCGTAGAAATAAACTGTTCATGCTATTGCTAGCAATCAAGAATGTCAAAACATTTAATAATTAAATACACCGGACAAATAAACACTTCAAAAAGAAAAACCAAAGGATGCTTGAGATAACTTTTAAAACCAGATATCTAAGTGCAGTGAAGCTAGTTTTTAAAAACAAAGGTGTTTAAGGTGTTTTTAAAAACTACCTTAGTTTTTGAAAACTGGTTCTTGTGGAAACCAATTTTTTACAAAAATAGTTCCTTAATATATCATTTCAATTATAGCTATTTTCGAGTCCAACCTTTTCCAATTCTCTCTTTTCTTTTCTATGTACATTTCTCTCCCCTTCAACTAGATCTTAGCTATGAAGTCCGGATTCGTAGTAACGGTGCAGATTTGTTAGAACATAGGTACATGAAAATTTTGAAATGCAAGATATGTTGGTTAAGTCAGGTACAAAGTAAACATCACTCACAGTTAGAATGATTCCATCCACTTCAAACCTGACAATTCTTTTTCCCATTACAAACATTCTTGAGTTGTTTCTAAATCTAACAGTACAACTGAAATTTTCATCTAGTTCTACAAACCACTTTTTATTTCCTGTCATGTGATTTGAGCAATCAGAATCAAGAAACCATATGCCTTTGTCTTTAATATCTTGAACTTCGGCATGAGCCATTAGGAATAACTCCTCTTCCTCGTCAAACTCAGCATATAATAGCACTCCTATTTACAAATGGTTTTGCTCTTCCCCGACCTAACATAGCTGCTACCTCTTCTTTGAAAATTGCTTCTTCCTCTTCCACGTCCAGAACGTGTGCCATGCTCAACTTGTTCTTCACTCCGCTTCTCTCTTACCTTTTGCTCATCAACAAGTAGTGAACTTTGCAGCTCATCCACAGTTAGGAGATCAATGTCCTTAGACTCTTCAATTGTGCATACAACAAAGTTGAAATTTTCTGTCAAAGATCTAAGTATCTTCTCAACGATTTTCACATCGTTCATATTCTCTCCGCAATTACTCATGTCATTTGCTGTTTCCATCACTCTTCCAAAATAATCATTCACTGATTCACCTGTCTTCATCTCTAATGTTTCGAATGTTCGTCAAAGCCTCTGCAACTGTGCACGTTTTACCCTAGTGCTTTCTTTGTACTTGGCTTTCGTGGATTCCCACAGTTGTTTAGTTGTTTCTTTCTAGGTAATAGTTTTGAAGATGGATTTGTCAATGACCTGAAATAGATAGTTCTTTGCTTTCAGATCTTTGAGTTTTTCTTCCTTCAATACATTTTGTTGTGCTGCAGTTATCTCTTCATTCTCCTTTGGTTCCTTTATTTCAGACTCGATAACACTCCAATACTCCTTTGATAGAAGTAGATTCTCCATGATCATAGTCTACATCAAATTTGGGCACACTTGGTGCGGTGAAATTGCTCGATTCAGCCATTTCACGTCTTTCAGTCACTCTAGTGTTTTTCCTCTAGAACACTTTTGTTTACTCACTATATCAGACCCCGATGGTGCTCTGATACCAAATGAAGAAGTAGTAATAACTTTGATAATATTAATCAGTAGGGATAACTTCTTGTTATTACAATATGAGAATATAATGACTTTATATAAGCCTTACAGTTTGAATAGAAATCTCAGATAAAAATAAGAAATACAAACTATAATAACCAATGACACTTATTTAACTTTTCTTATTATTAAATTTGGTTAAATTAACATTTTTATTTATAATAAAGACTAAGTCTTAGTAAATATACCGACAAAACTTTACAACTCCCTGATTTGAAAGATCACGTAAATAATAATATCTGACATCATTGATATATTTACCAACACATTGATGTTAGATATCATTATTTACGTGATCTTTCAAATTAGGGAGTTGTAAAGTTTTGTTGGTATATTTACTAAGACTTAGTCTTTATTATATATAGAAATGTTAATTTGGCTAAGTTTAATAATAGAAAAAGTTGAATAAGTGTCATTGGTTATTATAGTTTGTATTCCTTATCTTTATTTGAGGTTTCTATTCAAACTGTAAGACTTATATAAAGCCAATATATTCTCATATTGTAATATCAAGTTATCCCACTTGATTAATATTATGAAAGTTATTACTCCTTTTTCAAGATATGGTACGACTAGACTGTTAATAAAACTTATATGCATGTAAAATACTTGAAAGAGATATGCATTGATTATTTGAAAGAGATATGCATTAATTATTTTTCATTAAAATATAATTATAAAGATAACAATTTACAAAATGTAAAGTTTGAGTGTAGAATGTTCATATAAATCATAATCTATTTTCAATCCATATGTTGGATATCATCAAAAGTAGCATTAAAAGAACTCATATCAAAATAAATAAGTACAACCTAGTTAGTAGCTGCAAGGGTATTTGATGTGTTGGGGTGCGGGTTCAAACCCGTAATTCTCCACCTCTCCACACTTAAGGTGTGTGATTCTCGCCACTAAGCTATTCGACAAAAAAAAAACTCAAAAATAAGTTTTATCTAATGTTGACTAATGAGTCTCTTTACTCTCAAGAGAACTAAAAAACAAGACTTTTAAGTCTTGTTCATCAAGAGAACTCCACAATTCAAAAAGTCAAATGCTATCTTGAATCGACTCACGCACATCTCCCTTGAATTATCGCAATCTTGTCTCCCCTTTTAGGATACATATCCGCATGTATCCTTGAAGTATCTTATATGTATCCAATAAAATATTTTTAAAAAGTAATTCTGATACTTATAGGGTACGTATCCGGGAGTATTTGTTCTCGACTTTTGGAGTATACATGCTTCAAAGGATCTTAGGGTAGATAAATGATGAGGATACTTTTAGGAACTATTGGTTAATCCAATATGGTCAATAAGCATGCTATGTCTCTTGAATTTAAATATAAACTAGACTAAAATAAGTTTTAAATGTAGTTAAAACTAGTTGCAAGATAAGCTGAATTTATATAACCAGTTAATCTAAAATAGTATCAGACCAGTTGTAGAAGTTGCCAAACTGCCCCTAAAAGCTTGTAAAAAATAGCGCCAAAATTCAAGCGGATAAAAGAAGTACTGTTTTAAAGTTCTAGTGAGAATCATGAACTGAAGTACAAATCCTTCATACAAGAAGAAGAATAAAGGGGCTTGAGTGATGAATCACTTACTATATCTTGAGAAACTACACCGACGTGTCTTCTTAAACTCCGCAAACGAATGTCTTGGATATTTTGGTTATCAATCAGTATAGAACCTGCAGATATAAGAATATGAAGTAGAATATACTGATAAGAAAGATGACAAGTGAGTATAAGAATGAAACCAGTTGGTATAAGAAATGTAGTTGAATAATCACTCTCCCCATGCTGAACCACATGACAGAATTAAGTATCCATCTTTATATTAAAAAATAAATGACTCACCAGATATAGGATCATAAAGCCGAAGCAACAGTTTTGCAAGTGTTGTTTTCCCTCCCCCAGACGGACCTACGATAGCAACTATTTCCCCTGTCCGAACGTGAAGATTCAATCCATTTAAGATTAAAGGCAAGCCATCATTATACTTAAAGGATACATCACAAAATTTCAGGTCCCCTGTAACATGGTCCAAATCAACAGCATCTGGTTTCTCAACTACCTATTATTGTGAAAAAAATTGATCTATTATAACAGTTCAACTAGTTACCTAAACAGAAAATTTTAAAATAGCAGAACAGGATACTATATGCTCAACGGCCACCCTAGATTTCTTTTTTTCGTATTATCAAACCTTCATCAATTTCAAACAAAAATAATCGGTCAATTTCAAACAAAAATTGATCCATTGTCATACGGGGTCTCTTAAGCATGTGGTCATAGATTTACCTTATTTTTGAACCTGGTCATAGCAAACAGGCGTTCAATAGCTGGTTCTCCCTGCCTCCATTCATTGTAAGCTTTTCCTACATCCTGCGCGATTACTTTTCAGATTGATAACCAAAGACAGCTTCTGAAAAGCTGAACCATGACAACAATACCTGAATAGGCTCGATCAAGAAAAGCAATGAAGTCACGAATGAAACCAAGCTACACCGATCAAATGAACCTTTTGAAATAACCACCGAACCTGCGCAAATTATGGAAAGAACTCCAAAGTAAACAGCCTGTATAACCAGGGGAATGACTGCTTTCATCCTTTTTTTGTTCAGCTTTGCAGAATTGTCAATCAGGGCCAGTCTCCTAAACCTGGCACTCTCAAGCAACTCCGCATTGTTTGATTTCACAAAGAGAATCGTGGGCAGCATCTAAAATATTTTTGGGAAGAAAACAACAAATAACATTGAACACAAGGTAAGAAATAAACAGTGCAAACAGTGCAAACAATGCAAGGCTTCAAAATTTTTTCTGAAACTACAACGAAGAAGGAGAGTGTGACAGTCACGTTTACCTCATTTAGATATGCTGAGAGAGCAGCAACACTAAGATGTGCCTTTTTAGATATCTTGCGAAGTTCTTGACCAAGAAAGGCGACAACTAGAACCATACAAGGAATAACCTGCAACTTACAAAAGCTTAACGTGTGATTAAATCTAGTCTTGCTGCAAGAACAATCAAGTAGTAATTGAAAAAGAGTATAATCTCCTGACTCACCATGGCTGAAATCAAAGAAAGGACTGGACTTATAGCCAACATATGCATTGCCATTGCAGACAATTGCAGAGAACTAGGTACTATGGTCTGTCAGAAACAAAGGCCAATCATCAAAACATAAACAGAAATTCAAATTAAAGTAACATAAATGAAATCATTGTGCCATGTTCTCAAAACGACAAGCAAATACATGAGAGGGTCATGTTTATAATCCCCACCATTCAATCCTCTAGTTTTCATTTTTAAAAGCACACTCTTGTATTCAACATCTTAAGTAAAGGGTTAGGATTTAACATCAGAAAAAAATGAACATACTGGAATGCATTCCCCACACCCCACACACACCATAAAGTACAAGTTTGCGCTTAGCAATCTTCAATCTAAACTTAGAAAATAAATTCTCAACTCACAATTGTGTCTTGTGAAGGAAAAAATTATATAATAAATATTCAAATTTGTTACTAGAAAAATTTAATGCTGGATCACGATAATATATATATATATATATATATATATATATATATATATATATATATATATATATATATATATATATATATATATATATATATATATATATATATATATATATATATATATATATATATATATATATATATATATATATATATATATATATATATATATATATATATATATATATATAAACCTAATTTGTACCGTAGAAATAATATTACTTGGCATTCAATAGGAGTGTAAATATTTTTATATTTATTTATTCTAAATTGGAAAACAAATTTTGATATTCTATAATTTAAACATATATTATTGAGATCAAAATATAATTAAAATAATTATTTTTTTAAAAGATTGTATCTCAAAAATAATTTTTATAAAAATTTATCTAAAATAGCTTTAAAATTAAATGATTTTTTAAAATTTGATATCTAAAAAAAGTTTCAATATAAAATGATAAAATAACATTTTAACAAAAACTATACAAACTAATTTTCTTTTTGAAATTTTTATGAAAAAATTTTTTATAAATTTTTTTTATGTAATCATGTTACATTATAAAATTTGATAGTATATACCGATTGAATCCTAGTGCTAGTATGAATTACACTGTGTGTGAAAAAAATATATTTAAAATTGAAATAATAATGAGAGAGGGACGAAAAAAAATTCATATACCAGTAAAACACTAATGAAAAATTGCGGTGATTTTTGTCATTTTTGTAAAAAATTCATTTACCACTAATACTGCCTCTATTTTCCTATCATTTTTGTATAAAATAAAAGTAACTTCTAACAATTTGTTATTTTTTAACTAGTTTATTTTGATTAATAGTAATTTTAAAATTGATGAGTTTTGTTACGAAACAATTAATAAAAAGGAAACAGAGAATAATATAAAACTCACATTAAGAAGAGCGTATAAGGTGAGGGCAAGATCGGAAGCTTCAGCAGTAATCCTATAAGCGATATCCCCAGTGGAAACGGCGTCGTTGGCTTCGAAATAAGCAAGTTCCCTCTGAAGAACACGATCGAAAACGTGAACGCGAACATCGCAAACCGCATTAAGAGAAGCTTCCCAAAGAAGCGCATGCTGCGCATACGTGGCAATCAACCGAACAAGAACCAAACCGCCGAGGGCGAATCCCTGTGAAACATCGACGATGGTTGTGGCGGTGGTGATGGCGGAGAATTTCGAGAGAAGGTTGGAGAGTGAATAGACGGAGATAGCACTGCAGAGCCAACCGAAGAGGATTGGTTTCTGTTGTGAAATTAGATGCGGTTTTAGAAACTGTATTGTGTGGTTGGTTCGGATGGAGCTTTGGATTTTTAGGTTCGGGAATTGGCGGTTATTTTGGGTTCGGAATTGGGTTTGGATTGGACGGAGGTTTGGGTTTAGTTTTGGAAGAATGAAAGATGATGAGAGTGAATATGAATATGAAATTGGCATTGTGTTACTCAATGAGGAAATGGAATTTGGAATGAGAATGGTGTTGTTTAAACATTGCTCTATTGAAATGAGTGTGAATATTACTATGAATATGATATAAATATGTGGATTAAATTGGGAGGATCATACGTACTTCATCATAAATCATTAAATAATGTTGACCCAATTTCTCTTCAATTCATATGAATTGTCTCATTAACATTTCCCTTTTAAGCAGTACCTTCTTTTCTTCAAATTTTAATTTTATGTGTTCTTTTATTTTTATTTTTTTAATTAAGCCGTTTTTTTATTCCATATTTTTCCATGCCGTTTCTTTTTAAGTACCTCTTTCCCTATATGTCTTTTTTTTCATCACATTTTAGTACTTAAAAAAAATTTATTTCACTTTATGTCAATCCCGAACAAGATTAATCGGTGTCCTATTGATGTTGCACTATTAATCGATGCATTTTACGTTATTATTTAAAAAATTATTTTCACTTTCTCAAGTAATATAGGCTTTTTTAGATTTGTTAGATTTCTTTTAATGGTCTTTCTCTTTGTCTTTCTTGATAAATGGACACTCCGGTCTATAATGATCTTCTTTTCCACATTCATAACAAGAATCTTTATGTTTACTCTTCTTATTCTCGTCTTCCTTTGAGGATTTCGAAAGCCTTCTAAATTTCATTAGGTTTTTGTCGGAGTGTTTGACTTCATTTTCTTTATGTACCTTTTGACGAACAACCCCATTGCTTTATCATCGAAATTCTCGTCATCACTTGATTCAGAATCACTTTGCTCATTGGTTGAGGACTTTGAACTTGAAGTCTTTAAAACAATAGACTTTTTTCTTCCTCCTTGTCCTTACTTTTCTCCTTCTTTATCCTCTTCTCAAGCTTTTTCTCATGTTTTTTCAAGCAAGTTAATTCTTGCTCATGTTCTTCTACCTTGCCAAATAAAGTTATGAGATTAAGTGATTTAAGATCATTTGTTTCTATGATCGCGGTGACCTTAGGTTGTCATTCCCTATTAAGACACCTCAAAACTTTATTAGTAGCAATATAATTGAAAATAGGATTACCTAGAGCCTTCAAGTGATTTATAAGATGTATGAACCTCTTTTGCATGTCGGCAATTGTTTCACCATGCTTCATGCGAAATAGTTCAAACTCTTGATTTAAGGTATTGATCCTACCTTGTTTGACCTCATTAGTTCCCTCATAGGAAACTTCTAACGCGTCTCATATAGCTTTGGCGATTTCACAATGAGAGACACAATAATATTCATTAACACCAAGTGCGGATATGAGAATATTTTGTGTCTTCCAATCATGTGACCACAATCTCCTATCACTATCATTCCATTGTGCTTCCGATTTTGGTACAACAACACCTTCAACATTGGTTACTGTAATTTTATTAGGACCATTGATGATGGCGTCTCATACATCCTTAACAACCGAGTTGATATGGATATGCATATAAGCTTTCCAATAGTCATAGTTTTCACGGTAAAAATGGACGCTCTATTGTACGCCCCTTTAGGTTCGGTAGACATTTTCTAATAAGCGAACGTTGAAGCACGAAATTAACTGAAACTCATGATACCACTTGTTAGATGAAGGTGACTTATCTAGAGGGGGTGAATAGATACAAAAAAAGAATGTTTTACAAAAGTTATTTTAAAAAACAATGGCTAGCGGAAGTTACTCGCATCGATTCATCTAAACTGAACCGCTGTTGAAAAGCTCGAATATCTGTATATGAAAACCAATTGAAGATAATGATAAGAAATTCAATCAATATGCCTTAATAATAATTGTTAGAACAAGATTTGGTTCCGCTGTTTATCTATGAGTTTTGATAATAACAAGGTAGTACTTGTGTGGAAACAATTTTGGTACTCTAACGGTTTGTTATTCTGAAGTTTTAACAAATAGGTTCTGACTTTGATAGAGACCATATGCAACGTAATTCTGGTATGAAAAAAGTTGCTTCTGCGCAAAAGAAGCAAGTCGGCTTCTGTACCTACTCACATTCAGAAGATTCTAAAAAGACAATATATTGTTGTTGCAATGCTCTCTTGGATTCTGCCTCTGAGTGTGGCTCTGATGATTTACTTCTAAAGGTTTTCTAGCTTCTGAAGTTGTTCTTTTCTGAAGACTAAGTGCTAAAGACTCTGAAGACAAGGTTCTGCTGAACAAAGTTCTAAAGACTCTGAAAACAAGGTTCTGCTGAACAAAGTTCTAAAGACTCTGAAGACTTAAGTTTCTGAAGACTAAGTGCTAAAGATTCTGAAGATAAGGTTTTGGTGAATAAGTTCTAAAGACTCTGAAGACCCAGTGATCAACTCTTCTACTCATGCTTCAAACATCTCTATCCAAAAGCCTCTGATGTACATAAGATAAGGTCAAAAGTTTATGAGGGAAATAGTACATAGTACATATCAAAATGTTCCATTCCATTACCCTGATTTATTGTAAAAAGGACAACTTTTGTGTACGATTTTCATCCATACGTAATGACATTCTTTCAAGTCGTCAGCTCACTCAAGGATATTCCTGATCTGCCCTCCAACGAATCTTTCACTAGCTATATAAGGACTTGATAACTTAAAGAAAACAGTGAAGAAGAACTACAACACAACAATGCAAGAACACAACAATGAAAAATTCATATTGTGTGCAAATTTTCTTTAAGTCTTTTTAAGATATTCATTGTGTTTATATCTGCTTGAGTTGAACATTTCATTATAAATATTTATCTTTTACAAGTTGTTGTTTGTAACTCCTTAAGAGACCAGTTAGGTCAGAATCCTTAAGAAGACTTAGACAGTTAGCCTTTGTGGTTGTTAGTCACTAGCGGTTGCTAGTGCAGATTGTAATCAGTTAATTATATTGAATTAAGTCTTTGGATATAAGGAAAAATCACTTTGACGGGTGGACTAGATTAGCTTGATAGTTTTCAAGTGAACTAGGATATATCGTGTGTCTTTTTCTCTTGTTTAGTTTCTTTGTGATTTTTGTTTGAGTTTCATAAAAAAACTTTCATTTTTGAAAACCCATTTCAAACCCCCCTTTCTTGTGTTTTTCTCACACCTTCAATAATACCTTGAAAGCTACTTAACAAGTAATGTTTTATGTGTAATCGATTTTATTTGGAAATTTGTTTAGTTTTATTAATCTTAAAATCCAATCACAATCTAAAGGATTGTGATCAACTCAACAAAATGTTTTTCAAAAGAATTAGCGAAACGTATTGATCGCACAATTAATGAACTCAACAATTTGCAAATGAAACGTAAAAGAGATAGATAGATAGAGAGTACACAAATATTTATTTAGGCAGTTCCTCAATCGACTTCGTTATAGGTACGTCTACCCTCAATTCGAACTCGAATTATGATAGTGTAAATTAACCTTACTTTGCAAATGTAGTTTACAAAAGAAATGTAGCAATGAAACCCTACAAACCCTATGTTTGATGTTGATTCTAACACTTTCTCTTATCTAGATCTGAGCTTGATTAAGTCACCTAACAATGCCAATTTGATTCACCGTCTCACGCTACTCCTTTGCAAGAACTCTCATTCTTCAAAGCCTTCACTCGATCGAATCTAAATTGTGAATTGTTCTAACCGAAGATTTACCAATTTGATTCATCGTCTCACACTACTCCTTTGCAAGAGTCGCTCATTCTTCAAAGCCTTCACTCGATCAAATCCAAATATGCGTAATCTTGTCCAAAACCTTTAAATCTCCAATTGATCTTGAAGGAAAATCTCAACTTGATTTTCTTATTTGAAACCTCCCAAAGATCTCAATCTAATTTACAGTTCACCAGCCTAAATTGGACGTTATCAACTTGATTCTAGATGGCACCCAAACAATGAATGATTATGTGTATTTTATTTATGTGTATGCATAAAATCAAGGTTGAAGATGAAGAAGACTCTTTGTATGTTTCAAGTTTCGTTTGTAATTTTCACAAAACCATTGAAAAGAAATGATGCATGTATGAAGTATATATGTGTATGCAAGTTAGAAGAAAAAAGGAATGCAATAGGTTTAGAAAACAATGGAAATTTTCAAGATTTTTGATGCATGTGTCGACATATGTAAGTCTTAGGTCGACCTATTTGATGCATGAGCTGACCTGTAAAGGTCATGTGCCAACCTATGCAGTTAGCACATCAAATAGAGACTATAGGCTTTAAAATTAGGTACATGTGACGACCTGAAAATCGTATGTCAATCTGTAGAAAGAACTTCCTTCTATGTGTCGACTCATAAAGGCAACATATCAAATAGAAGCTGCAAACTTTAAAAATGGACCACATTTGTCGACCTATGGCAAGTATGTGTCGACACATACAACTGTTTTTCACAACAACAACAAAAAACTTGTTTTTAATACATGACACCTTTTCTAAATTATTTCCAAATGCATGAACCTTTTCTAAATGATTTCCAAAAAGCTTTTATGCTTCATAATGCTAAGATAAACAATAAGACTCAGAGGATACCATCCAATATACATAAACACTAAATTATCCTAGTTTTGACATCATACAAAACACATCTAATGGAAGGTTTCACTCACATTCCCAACCATCTGGTTCAACTTCATCATGTCGTTTGTCTCATGTCTCTATTTCACAGGGTTACGAGTTCCCAGATGATGCAACAACACATAAAGCCCATGAAGCCTTGGGGAAACCCGTTGTCGATGCCCTTTCAAGTGTATGCAGACAATGCTGCTTGGCATGTCTGGTAAGGATAGGTATATTTATTTTATTTTTCTATACACATGTTTTAAACTAATTAAATCGATACTAATAGTGATATTTTTTTATACAGGAGCGTCTGTATTTGAAAACGATAAACCATGACAATAAGATGTTGAAGTTGACACTGCCTATCGATGATTGGTCCTTAATGTTATCTATTATTTCGGTCTTTCCAATTTATGTTATGTCGAGTACATGATCATAAACCACAGCATGCAAATGAAATTTG